GACGCGCGGCCTGGTGCGGCCCGGCCCGGTTGGAGGCAGCGCCCGCCCGCCGCTGCGGCGCCCTCTGATGGTCGCCTGCCCCGTCGCTCCGCCCCGGGCCTCCACCGGCCGAGCCCTACGGCGCCCGGCGGGCCTGCGTGAGGGCTCCGCTCTCCCTCCGGAGCCTCTGACTCGCCCTACGAGGCAAACCTCGACAGGCCTCGCCGGTGGGAGGCCGCTGCCCTGGCTCCTGCGGATGTCCTCCCCGGGCCGGAGGGCCCCCTGCAACCGGCGCTTGCCCGGCTTTCCGGGAGCTGGGAAATGGAGCTGGGTGCCCCATTGTTTTTTTCTGCTGGAGAGGGTTTCTGGCCTGCAGCATTGACCTGGGGCCACGCTGAACTCCCCTGCTTCTCTTGCTCCATGCCAGCTGCCTCGCCACCTTCTTCATCAGGGGTGGGTGGGCAGGACCCGCATTCTGGCCATCCCCCCAGGGTGACAAAGGAATACCTCTAGATAGAGTGGAACCTCCACACGCACATTATTAGACTGTATCAGGGAACTACAGGCCAGACAGTCTCACCTCTGGGCCTGGCAGAGAAGATCATGGAGTAGATCCTCATGGAAATTATGCTAAGACACATGCAAAATAAGGAGATGATTAGTGACAGCAAGCATGGACTCACTAAGGGCAAGCCACACCTGGCAAATTTGGTGGCCTTCTACAACAGCATTGCAGTGTTGGTAGATAAGGGGAGAGTCACTGACATCATCTACCTGGACTTGTGCAAAGCATTTGACACTCTCCTGCACAACAGCCATGTCTCTAAATTGGAGAGACATGGCTTTAATGGATGGTCCACTCGGTGGATTAGGAATTGCCTCAAAGAGTTGCAGTCAACAGCTTGATGACCAAGCGCAAACCAGTGATGAGTGGCATTCCTCAGGTACTGGGACCAACATCTTTGACGTCTTTGTTGGGAACATGGATGTTGGGATTGAGTGCACCCTCAGCAAATTTCCAGCAACACCAAGCTGTGTAGTGCGGTTGACATGCTGGAGAGAAAGGATTGCATCCAGAGGGACCTGGACAGGCTTGAGAAGTGGGCCCCCACAAACCTCATGAAGTTCAACCAGGATAAGTGCAAGGTCCTGCACCTGGGTTGGGGCAATCCCATGCACAAATACAGGCTGGGATTGAGAGCAGCCCTAAGGAGAAGGACTTGGGGGTGTTGGTAGCTGAGAAGCTCAACATGAGGGTGTAATGTGTGCTTGCGGCCTAGAAAGCCAACAGCACCATCGGCCTCAGCTGTGTCTTCCAGGACACCGTCAGGTTGCTCTGACCACTCAGTCATCTGCAGGCACATGCGGCAAGAGGGTTCATTGGATAACCCCTCATGCCTCCCTGGGAGTCTGCAGGACAAAGTCCTACAAGCTTTCCCCAAACCCTAGCACTGCTGGCTAGCCCTCTGGGCTCCCCTGATTCCTCCCATGGTGGGGTACAGGCTGCACTTGGTTTGATCTGAGGGGTTTTCTGTCCTACCCAGGGTGGGGGAAGGCGAGCAGGGGTGTTGTCCTCTGCTCAGTACTCATCAGGTCTCATTTGGTCACTGCATCCTATTTGGGGTCAGGGGCAGGAGGCAGACAGAGAAACAAGAGGGGCTCAGGGGAGGCAAAGAGGTTCTGTGGGACTGGAGCTGGTTCCACATGGAGCAGAGAAGGTGTTGGGGCACTTCACAGCATATCCTGGTGCCTATGGGGAAGGCATCATGGGGATAAGGACAGGTGCTTCCTGGCACTGACTGGTAGAAGGGTGAGAGATGGTGGCATCTCCTGAAACCGGGGAGGTTCAGGCTGGAGATAAAGAATCAAACCCCAAATCCCTGTGAAGATCATGAAGTACTCATGAAGGATCATCAAGTGGGTTGTTCAGAGAAGAGGTGGGATCCCCAAGCCTGGAGGTCTTCAAGACCTGAGTGTTCTTGAAGCCCAACTGTCACAAGCCCATGAAGATGTGCTCACTGAAGTGCTGGAGAAGATGCATTGCAGTGGGAAATGGAGCAAAGGTTTCCAAGAGTGCAACAGCTTCCAGAAGCTGCAAAGTCAGAAGACTACTTTCTGTTTTCTCTCAGTTCAGCGGTTTTCAGAAACTTTGATTTAGCATGGAGTAGAATGGAATGGAATAGACTAGAATAGAATAATAGAAAAGTTCCAGTTGTCAGGATCCAACAATCATTGAGTTCAACCACCTGACCACTCCAGGGCTGGCCAAAAGTTAAAGCGTTATTAAGGACATTGTCCACATGCCTCTGAAACACTGACAGGCCTAGGGCATCAAGCACCTCTCTCAGAAGCTTATTCAGTGTTTGACCACCCACTTGGTAAAGAAACATTCCCTCATGTCCAGTCTGAACCTCCCCTGGTGCAGCTTGGAACCACTCCCATGTGTCCTGTAGCTGGAACTCAGGGAGAAGAGATCAGCACCTCTCTCTCCACTTCCCCTCCTCAGGAAGGTGCAGAGAGCAATGAGGTCGCCCCTCGGCTTCCTTTCCTCCAAACTAGACAAACCCAGAGTCCTCAGCCAATCTTCACAGGACGTGCTTTCCAGCACTTCCACCAGCTTTGTTGCCCTTCTTTGCATGCACTGAAGTTCGTTACCATTCTTAACCTATCCTGGTATACAAAGCATTGTGATGGCATTAGCCCAGGCACATGTGCACAAGTCATGTGAAGTTATGCAGGTATAAATGTAGAAGGGCCAAAGCCCAATTAGAATGTAATTTGTCTACTGTTGTTAAAGACAACAAAAATTGTTTCTACAAATGCATTAACAACTAAAGGAGGTCTAAGAAGAATCTCTGTACTTCATTGGATGTAGGTAGAAACATACTAACAAAGCATGAGGAAAAGGCTGAGGTACTTAATGTCTTCTTTGCCTCAGTCTTTAATAACAGTAAGACCCATTGTTCTTGGGTACCCAGCTGGCCAAGCTGGAAGACAGAGATGGGAAGCAGAATGAAGGTCCCCATAATCCAAGGGAAATGGTTACCAACTTGCTACACCACTTAGACACATGCAAGTCTATGGGGCTGGATAGGATCCACCCAAGGGTCCTGAGGGAGCTGGTGGAATTGCTCACCAATCCACTTTCAATCATTTATCAGCAGTCTTGGCTAACCAGGGAGGTCCCTGTTGACTGGAGGCTAGCAAATGTGACACCCATCTACAAGATGGGCCACAAAGAGGGTCTGGGGAACTATAGGCCTGTCACTCTGACCTTGGTGCTGGGGAAGGTTAGAGGCAGACCATCTTGAGTGCCATCACATGGCCCATACAGGACAGCCCAGGCTGAGTCAGGATGGGTTGATCAAAGGCAGGTCTTTGATTG